GGTCGGTGGATGGATGGATGAATGGGTGGGTCGGTGGATGGATGGATGGATTGGTGGATGGATGAGTGGATGGGTGGGTGGATGGATGGTTGAGTGGATGAGTGGATAGGTGGATGGGTAGATGGATGGATGGATGGATGGGTGGATGAGTAGGTGGATGGATGGGTGGATGGATAGGTGGGTGGATGGGTGGGTGGATGGATGAATGGGGGGGTAGATGTGTGGGTGGGTGGGTGGATGATGGCACAATGATACAGCACAAGTCTGAGGAGCCCCACAGTGGGTGCTTAGGCATCACACACAATCATTTTCCTTGACTAATGTAATTCTAATCAAGTTTCACTCACTGAAATGACACTTTACATAGAAAGGTGCCAACTGTCAGTTTACAATTGTGTCATTTGAAATCTGATAAGCATTTCTTCTTTTGGCCCCACCTATACATTAAAGTTGGATTCTAACTTCTAACCATTCTGAATCAAAAAGTATAGTATTCCCCGGGGTGCAAAAGATTTCAGCTTTCATATACTGCCTGCCAAAAACTGAAATACGTGAAGAGTGTGTGTTATATTTTGTAGCTTAATAAATTGAACCATAGCCAGGGATGTTGGCACACACCCGTGAGCCCAGCACTCAGGAGGAGGTTGATGCAGGCGGATCACAAGTTTAAGGTTAGCCTGGACTACACAGCAAGACCCTTTCTCAAAAAATCAAAACAAAAATAAATAACAAATAAAGAAATAAATAATGTTAGTTTATTATGTTTTAACATTACTTACTTAGAAAAAAATCACAAACAAAAACCTCACTCTAAAGAAGTAAATAGGTATTTATACCACTACTAAAAGTTTCTATTTTTCCAAAAACCTGGTTGTCCTATAAGATCTATTTGATCCCAAAGATCCAGTTGAACCCTGGAAACATTTTGTCAGTTAGCCTGTTGATTTTTATGTATGAGACCACCTGATTGCCCCCCTCTCACCAGATGGAGGTGCTAGATCTGACATTCTGATACTGCGGAGAGCAGCTTATGTAAAAACAGTACACATCAACTCCTCAGCGCCTTGGTCTTATTTCAGGAGGTTTATGGTAAAGAGAACTGGGTATTGGTTCTAACGAATCACAAATGCTTCCCCCATTTTCTTTGGCACAAGGCAAATTACCCACTTTATGAATTTAACCAAGCAAATGGAATACTGAAGGTACTATAACCTGACCTTCCTTATACCAGCTCATGAACTCATTTGCAAACTACTTAAGAAGACAGATTAAACACTGAAAAGTCTGGGGCAAATCATTAGTTTTAAAAATGGTTGTCTCGTACAAATTTGCTTCAGAAAATAGTTCATGTTGTAGGGAGCAAGGGGGACGGGGTTGTGTGCATAAATCTGTGATGGCGACTTTGAGTCGTATGTCTCGTACAAACTTGCTTCAGAAAATAGTTCATTTTGTAGGCAGCAAGGGGGATGGGGTTGTGTGCATAAATCTGTGATGGCGACTTTGAGTTGCATGTCTTAGCACCAAGAAGAGATGAAGCTACGTGACACTGACTGAACAGGGAAAGGTATTTTCTAGTGCCAGTCCCTCTAGCCAGTGCCTGAACTACTAAAAAAAAAATATTGAAACATTTTCCAGAATGTCAGAAATGTCTACTTCCACCCAGTTCTCTAGAGGTACTTAAAGGTTAATAATGCCTTCAGAAAGCTGGACATGGTGGTGCACACCTGTAATCCCAGCATGTGGGAGGCTGAGGCAGGAGGATCAAGGTGAGTTTGAGACCAACCTGGGCTACATAGTGAGACCTTGGAAAAGCCTTCTTTCATTAACCTTGTTTATAAACCTGCCGAACTTGACTGCAAGCACTGTCCCCCGACACCCACTCTCTTTGGACAAAGCTGCTGCTTCCCAGTGTCTCTAATTTGGCAATTGTTTCATTTTTATTTAATGTCACTGCACTTTTTCAGTGTGGTGGCTACATTTGGCTAGGTAACAGTGGCTGCAATGTTTGGAGTAGTGTAATTTTCAGTTGGTCAACTGATCATGACTGGCTTTTGTTTTTAAAATCACTGTCTGCCTAACCCATCCCCAGTTTCCCCAAGGGTATTTGAATGTAATGCTATGGAAGCACTAAACGGTCACTGGTCACCATAGACAAGGAGAGTCTGAGGAGCCTCTGAGAAACTGTTGTAGCCAAGTGAAGCCATGGAGACCGATAACTAACTGCGACGACGCGGTGCTGTGGAAGGCGGACCTACACAGCGATATTCGGGAACGATTGAGGAGGTCTGAATGACGGGCTTTCCTACATCGGCGGTTCATTAATTGTAAAAACTGTAGCAGCGCACCCCTAGGAGGGCAGTTAGGCTGCACACAGGGGGTGACAAGCTAACGTAGATGTTAATTATCAGGGAAATGGGATGCAGGGGGTAAGTGAGCTCTGTCCCACCTCCATACTTTCCTTAAGTCTAAAACTGTTCCAGAAAGGCTATTATGAAAGAAAATACTAAATGCGTTACATGAACATCAGTTGTGTTAACTTTTTACTCTTTGTGTTTGTTTTTCTGCTTCCCGGATGACTTGTTTTCTCACAGTGGGGGAGGGACCAGGCGGTCACCTCACAGCTGGTTCCCTGCTGGCTACTCAACACCCAACCGGGCTACACAGCCACGCACTCACTAAGTGTCCATGTGATCGCTTCCTTCTAGTTTTATTGTAGAAGAAAAGACTCTGCCTGGCCTCTTTTAGTTGTAACTTCTCGTCTTCCTCTCTAGAAATATGTCTTCCTTTAAGAAAAAGGAAGGTACATAAGTGCTCTTCTGAATTCAGCAAGTCCCCGAAATGAGGGGCTCCAGGCTGCGTGAAAGTCCTCTACACGGAGGAAAACTTCCCAGTGAGCAATCCCAGGGGAGGGCAAGGAAGGCACCTCGCTGCCTTCTACAACTTTGTCTCTGAAACTGCGCATCACTTCTCTTTCATTCCACTCTTTAGAAGCAGATCGTGACAGGCATGGTGGCGCAGGCCTGGAACCCGCACTTAGGAAGCTGAAGCAGGAGGATCATCTCGAGTTCGAGGCTAGCCTGAACTACATAGTTAGCCCCTGCCTCAAAACAAACCAAAACATCACTGTGCCGATTCCACCCTTAAGAGGACAGTTAGGTTGCACGCAAGGCAGGACAAGCATCTAACTTGTGACCTCTCCATTCCCACTGACCGCCACCCTCTGGTGGGCTACTAAGACTGTCTTTGGAGTTTCCCCACCGCACCGCCTCAAGTTGTCCCCAGGGGCAGCCTGGCCTTTTCAGAGGCACCAGGGGCCCTCGGCACACTTCTTTTAGTCTTGTCCCTTCTCAGCTGTGAGGGACTGAATGTCTACTCCATGTGAAAGGCAGTCTGCCCTAGCAAAACCTCCCAGCTCCACGGTGCACACAGAGTATTTTAAAACCAGAAAATGGGAGAAGTGTGAACCGTGTGAACAGTGCTCCCCCAAAATCTGGGGCTCAAGATTGTTCTATCCTCATATCCTCAGGGGGGCACCTGCAGAACTGGTAGTGTGCACTGACTTCCCTGGTGGCCAGGTCCATGGAGTACAAAGAGGAGTTTGAGGAAGGAGGAGATGGGCAGCCTCCCACCCACCAGGTGTCTGGGGGAAGAACACAGACTGGCAGTGGACGTGGACCTACCAGGATGCAGTTTAGTAGGGAGGCGCGGGCAGGAGGGCAGAAGCCACATAGCATGAAGTTGGTGAACCCATAAGGGCTCCTGGCTGCATGTAACAAACGCTAACTAGACTTCTGTGAGCAGGAAAGAACTTAGTGCAAGGATATGGGGCAGTCACGGAATTTCTGGGAACGCTAAGGAGCTGGTTGTTACAAACGGGCAAGACTAAGGCAGGCTTTTGTGGCTGGAGCCCAAATCATGCTGAATAGCAACACTGTCATCATGCCACGTGTTACGGCGTGTGCCTAGGTGTCCCTCAAGGCCTCACGTGGTCATAGGTGGCGCTTTTTCAGAGGTGGCTGGATCTGGAATATGTGATGCTGGAATTGATTCCTGGTGCAATGCTAAGATCAAAGGCACTAGGGCTAAGGGTGTGAGCGTTACCCAAGCTGAGCAGCCTGGATAAGATAAAAGGGATAAAAACTGTGACTGTCCCTTGCTTGCTTGGCATCTATTTCTTCTCTGTGATGCCCCTCTGCATACCACCCATGCCCCTTGGAGCCAGCCGACTATTAGCTAAAACCTCCACAAACTGTGAGCTAAATAAACTTTTCCTCCTTCAACTTAGGGTGTGTTGGCCTCCTGTCAAGATGCAGAGGGCAAGGACCTTCAAAGCCAGGCAGAGGACGCAGGTTCAGGCACCCCAAATCCTTGGGTCCACTCCAGACTGAGAAACTGAGGGGGTGAGGTCAGGAACAGCCAAAGCTGAGGCTTTTTTCTCACTTATGGCACAATTAAGGGAACTGAGCCGTTTAACAGAGAGGGCTACAGTTTAGGTCTCGAATGTCCCGCCGGAGCCCCACGCACTCAGAGGCGGGGTTTTGGGAAGGGGATTAGGCCGTGGGGTGCTACAGCTGACTTGCTCTTAGGAGGCCTGGTCAGCGGTGCAGCTCACAGCGGTGTGACCTGGAAGGAAGGACGTCCCTCCCTGGCCCCGCCCTCTTTCTCGGCTTCCTGTCCATCGCACAATGAGCAGCTTTCCCGTCAGGCCCTCCTGCCCGCGGCTTCTGTGCGTGAGCCTGCGAACGTGGACGAACACTTCTGAACCGTGAGCCAAACAAACCTGTCTTCCTTTAAACTGCAAGTGTCAGGTACGCTGTCCCAGTGCTGGGCAAGGTGATGAGGACAGAGGGGGAGAAACACGGAACCCTTTTCACAACACACCAAGCGGCACAGCCTGACTCCTGTGGCAGGACAGAGCCGTCCAGGGACAGAGCCTTAAGACACCCACATCTCTTCCGAAATAAAGGAACCTGAAGCATTACTCACGGCCCTTGGAAAGCGTCAGTTGTCAATGGGCTTTAATGAACGTCTGTGTAAATAACATATCTTCAATAATTACAATATAGAAATCTCTATGAACAAAAATAGACAAATTTTTTGGCAAAGAATGCTGTAAGGGAAGTCATCCGGGGTCTTAGGCAGCAGCGTCTACACAGCCGGCAGGGTCAGTGTTTGGGGACGGAGGTAAATATCCGTAGTCCATGCATTCCTTTGATCTCTTCTTTCAGTGCCTGAGTAAGTAAAAGAGCACCATCATTTTTTGTGTATTTGATAATGATTACAGAGTACAGTAATATCTCAGTTCACAAATGCTTCTGTTTGTAAACCATTTGGTTCGCAAACTAAAGCACTCAGCAAAATTTTGCTTCCGTTTACAACATTAGGTGATAAACACAAGCACGGGTATCTTCCCCTATAAACATAGAACACAGTCATCGTCCCCCAAATCATAAAACAAATTAAGTTTGTAAACCAAGGTGCCACTGTATTTTTATAAAGCCCTGCATCTGAAGGAGACTTTTTACATGCTTTGTTTCCGCAATTTTTCCTTTATAAATGTTTGTTTGAATCAATATCTAAGCCAGGCACAGAAGTGCATGCCTACATTCCCAGCACTGGGAGGCTGAAGCAGGAGGATTCCTTGAGCTCAAGTGTTCAGAGCGAGCCTGGGCAATATGGTGAGATTTTTGCCTCAAAACACAAAGCAAACAAACAAAATCTAGTATGGCTTAAAAAAGGAAGTATAAAAAGACATACAGTGAAATCTTACTCTCAGATGTCCTCTGTCTCTCAGTTCCTGCCTCTGTCCCCAAACAGAGAACTCTTATTGCTTGTTTCTTGTGGATTGTTGCAGGGCTTTCAAAACGCTTATCTGAGCTAATATGAATACACATTCCACCCCACACTATTTTACAAACACAAATGCTTAACACTCCAAACACATTGCTTCTAAACTGCCTTTGCCCTAACCATCTCTCTCAGTGATCTGCCCATCTGCCATGAAGTGTACCCGCAGTCTTTGCATCCCATGACACGGATGTAGTGTACCTTTTCACCTGCCCCTAGTGACCTTTGAGGCTGTTTCCTACGATTTGCTATTTCAAGTAATGAGCGGCAGTTCTTTAAGGCCCCACCAATTACCGTAAAGGCTCCAATTTTACTTCACGGCAGAAAATAGTCACATAGGAAATTCTGAGACTTGCTTAAAGCTACATTGTCAGAACCCAAACCTGAACTAACCTCCACAGTCAAGGTGCTCAGAGCCCCCACAGCGTTGGGACGGAGAAAGAAAGGCTACAGGACAGGAGGGGGCTTGGAGTGCTCGGGCGCAGTCAGTGCAGAGGAGACAGAGTCCTTCTTTTCTCGTCCAAAATCTCAAGGTGGGTGGGCGTCAATTCCCAGTCTGCTCAGCAATCCCCCTTCGCTTGGGGAACAGTTCCTGTCACACTTTAATTCCACCCTCTGGTGGGACTATCAAGTAGCCTCACCGGCCCAGCCTATGACTGGCTCGGGGGTGGCACGCGACCCAAACTGGTCCAGTCAGAATCTCCCCTGGGATTTTTCAGAGTGCAGCCTTGACTGCTGGGTTACCAGGCTGGAACGATGCCAACCAGAGGTGGCTGGGAGCCATGTTCTCTACTAAGGAGAGAAAAGCCATCTCCACTAGGAGATGAAGAGGCCAACGCGGCCAGAGACGCCGAAAGTGGTGACAGAATGAGACAGCAAGCAGGTAAATTCGCTTAAGACTGAATGAAGACATGCCAAAGAACAGGTGATTTCATTACAAGGTCAATTAATTCCCTTGGTTTGATTATGTTCATTTTAACCTGGTCTCTATATTGAAAACAAAAAAAATTCTAATACCCGTACTATAGTCAGAATTATAGTCAGAAGGATCTTTAGAGAAAAGCTAGTCTTATCTCTTTGTTTGTCCTCTTTCTTTCTTTATCTGTCTGTCTGTCTGTCTGTCTGTCTCACCAGCTATCATCCAGAGTCTACCGCTGATACAAAGTCAGCAAGCAAGGGAGTAACCGAGTCGGGATATGAAGCCAGGTGTCTTGAAGCCCTGGCCATACCTCACTGGCCCCGCCAGCAGGCCTGTCCCACTTGACCCGCAATACAACTCATTTCCACATCCGCAGGGAAGTTGCTCAGCTCTATAGACGAGCAAAACATGTCCACGGAAAAAGCCTGAGAACACAGCTGAGCAAGAGCACTCAGACCCTGGGACGCCTGCTCCCTGCAGGCCAGGCTGCTCCTCGGAAGCTGCCTCGTATCCGCACCTAGGCCACAGCTCGCCTCCCCGTCATAGCTTCCTTCGAAGGGTGAGGGCCCAGTCACACCTTCAGGAACCTTCTTGGCTTTGGCACCTCGGGCCTTGCCTACTTCCCGTCTCAACACCTTCTCCCCGCTCTCTGCAGCCCCTGCAGGCGGACCCCCAAGCACGCCATAGCGTCACACATTACACATCACTGCCATAGGTCACAGAAGGCCTTGGAGATCACCAGGATGACTTCACAGTTGAGGAAGCTGAGGCCCTGCGGGGGGAAGTGACCGGCTGAAGAGCTATGGGTAAGAAAAGCGGAGCACTGTGCCTGCAGCACTAACCCGGGTGCTGGGGACACAGGAGAAAAGGCATGGCTAAGTGGCAGAGTACTGTACCAGCTAACATTAGGCCACAAAGGCAGCCTTGAGGCCACAGTGGTGGCATGCCAGCCTGCGACTCACTCCAGCCTGCGGCACGGTGCACAGGGAGGGGCAGCCCTGCCACGCCGGGGGGAGGAGCTGGGGGTGAGGCAGCCCTGGAGCTGCCAGCCGGAGCGGAACAGGCACGAGAGGCAGGACCACCGTCACAGGAGCAGAGGCTGGGAGGCTCCGCAAGGGAAGCGTGGCCTCCAGTCAGGCGCGTGGGGCAGACGGGGGCAGACTACGCAGATGATGCTGAGTCCCAGGCTGGGAAGCTGGGCCGGGCCCTGTGCGCAGCAGGACCCACTGAAGGGCTGTGAGCAGTGGGAAGCCAAGGGCAGAGGCGGTGACTGGGCAGCTCGCAGGGAGAGGCCGGAGGTGGGGAGGCACAGCACAGCAGCTACTAAGCCCACTCCTTCCACGAGAGCCAGTCCCGACTGGGTGCCGGAAAGTGCCCCTGCCGAAGCACTCCTCAGCCTGCCTCCCTGGGGCTCGGCCCTGAGCAAGCGCAGACACAAGGTCCATGTCACAGGTCAGCAGGTCCCCCACGAATGACAGTCCACTCCTAGAGAGAGCAAGGGAGCAGGGCCACCCTGTCCCCGGGGAGTCAGCAGGGAGGGGACTGCGGCAAGAGCCAGGCCAGGTGACCTTTTCATGGCCTTTTGAACTCACAGCCGATTCTATGATTCCATTATTAAGCCCCTGGCAAGGTTACAGAGGAAAGCTTCCCCTTGGCCCGGGCCCCAATCAGATGGTCAGGTCCGAGTGTGCCAGACAGGGGTCCTACCCTTCCCACCCTGCTCCTGCAGACCACGTGTACAGGGGGCCCGGAGCTGGGAGCAGGTCCTGGGCAGCGAAGTCCGGTCACTCCCAGGTCTGCCGTCTCCGCAGTGGGTGCCTGTCAGACCTCGACTCCCAACACTCACCCTGGGCAGGGCAACCCCAGGTCCTAGCTCAGACCGGCCCAGGCCAACAGACCTGCTCTTAACAAGGTCTCATTTTGGTTCCTTCCATGTAATTCTGTCAAAGCCCAACAGTCCTCTAACCTAATCTTCCAAAAGTCCACACAACCACACAAGTGCATTTAGACACCCACGTCAGCGTGCTCACAACGTGCTGTGGCTCTCGGCTGTGAAGCTGTGAAGGTCGGGCTGGGGATCTCCCTCCTTCCCGGCCCACCTCTGTCTCCTGTGACAAGACAGTGCTGGGGAAAGGGGACTGGGAGCGACCTTTGAAAGCCAGGCTGAACTATCCTAAAGGGAATGCCTTTCAGGAACTGAACACTTAATTCTCTGTAAGCCATCAGAAAACACAGGCCAGCTCTCCTTACTGCCTGCAAACTCTCAACAAGTACTGGCTGAGCTCCTTCCACTGGGTGGCTTGTTTTTAATTTTGAAAACCACCACACCCACTCGGCAGACCTAAGGTGCCGAAGGCCAGAGGCAAAGGACCACTGTCACTGCCACTGACCTGATTAACCATCTGGTGCTGCTGGACAGTTCTCTTCTCCTTAAATTCTTCTGATTCGATTTTAATTTCATACATCGCCCCGCAGCCTCCTAAAATAAACAGGAGTCAAAAGGGCTTCAGTTATTAAGCATGGCAGCCGCAGCCCAGGTGTCCTTGAAGGCCTGAGACTGTCATTCAGCACAAGGACAGTCACCAAGAGGGGTGAAGGAAGAGCGCAGCTTCCCACCAGACCACACACCTCCGGCAGGCCGCCTCCACCCAAACGCACTCTTTGTTTTGGAAGGCCACTGTGCCGCCCCAGCTTATTACCTGGACCGGAAAGCAAAGGTGCAAAGCGTGGAAAATGTAGGGAATGCAGCCAAAAAATGCCATGGAAGAGGGTGGGTGGGAAGGTCTGCATTTCAGTGTCGAACCTCCCAAAGGACCTGAAGTCAGTATTTCCAAAACTGCAAAAACACTCTTGACATTTGGTTTGAAAACTGTGTTTGTAAACTCATCCAAAAGACAAAACAAAAACAAAGTGGCATGAGCGCCTGGGCCCCAGCAAATGCACTGGGCTGGGAGGTAGATGGGGCTGTGCCCGGCACCTGCCGCTTGGAATGGAGCTTATGACGAGGCCCTCAGGGTGGGCCCTTCCAGCCCGGCCCAAGTGCTGAGTTCCTGAGGATGCTGCCCCAAACAGGGGCGGGCAGGGCTGTGCTGAGAGCACGAGGCCACCACCTGAGAATTACGACTCAACGGGCTTTGTTTTGTTCCCTTTTTCTTTTTTGGAGACAGGGACTTGCTGTGTAGTTCCGGCTGGACTTGAACTCACTACGTAGCCCTGGTTGGCCTTCAATTCATAGTGATCCTCCTGCCTCAGCCTCCAGTACTGGGATTACAGGTGTGAGCCCCCACGCCCGGCTCATTTTGCTTCCCTTACAGTGTGCTCTGGGAGTCCACATTTCGGTTGCACACAGCTTCCTAACCTCAGTGACTGAAGACAGAGACGGGGAACCGACTCCCACGGTTTCCCCTACTACACACTCGCAACGGACACTTCCAAGACCCACGTGGTGGGGGCCTCTCCACACCAGCAGCAAGCAGTCTTGCAGCAGTGGATGCCCCAGCGCCTGCTGACCCAGTTCGGTTCTGACACTATCTACCTGGGTGCAAGTGACAGTCACAAGCCCAGTGTTGTTTTGCTTGTGCTTCTGACCAGCCACTATCTATCAGGGTTCCCAAACTCCTCCTTGAGTTTCACCAATTGGCTTCACCAGCTCACAGACCTGGGTACACACACTGCGTTATGGTAAAGGGCCTCACAAAGGGTGTAAATGAAGAGATGCACAGGGCGAGGTATGGTAAGGGGTGCAGAGCTCCCCCGCCCTCCGTACGCTGCCACCCTCAGAACCCCTGTCAGCAAAAGCTCTCCAAACCCTGTCCCTCTGGGCAACTCAGCTGGACCTGTGTGCTCAGATTCTTCCTGCCTCTCCCGACAGCATTCCTTCCTTGCGGGCCTGCGGACAAGGCCCAGCTGAGGGGACCCAAGGTTGTCAGCCTGGCTCTGCTCAGACAAGGACCTTCTGAAATAGGGATCTAACCATCCAAGAGTCTCCTCACTGTCAGCCCAAAGACAGACAGGTGTGGGAAGGTTAGAGTTTCCATGACCCACACACTCTGGGGAAGAAAACTTATTCTCCCTCTGGCCTGCCTATGGCATGGAATTACAGGCCAGACTTTGTGGTGGCACATGCCTGCAATCCCAGAACTCTGGGAGACTAAAGCAGAAGGATTGAAAATTCCTAGGCAACTTAGCAAAACTATTGCAAAGGGGAGTGTAGCTCACTGTATAGTGCTGGGTTCAACACCAAGTACTACCATACCACCAAAAAATATACATATATCTATATACCATCACATCACAACGACCTTTCCACACTTCGGCCAGGGCTGGGCAAAGCCAGCCTAAGGGTCAAGTTCCAGATCTGCCCTGGGCCTGAGGCGGGTATAGGGCTGGTAATATCAAGGCCTGAGCACTGCCTGGGGACTGGCAGAGCCCCTACCTTATGTTCCATGCCAAAAGATCTTTAGATGAGCTTCCTGTAGTTGCATGAATAAAATCCACTCTAAATGTTCAGCCAACCTGTGTAAACACTGTACTCTCAGTGAAGCCAGTGAGCTGCAGAATGGCCTAATCCTGTGGGTGTGGCGATTCAGGTGGACCCCTATCTAGCTGTCCCCAGCTACGCTGCCCGTGTGTGTGGCTGGATAAAGGGTCTATCTTCTCCCACCTGTGGGTATGGAGGCTGTTCCCCAAACACAGCCAGCCTGAACTTCTGGGGAAGGCAGGGCCTGGCTGGATGGGAGTGGGTAGAAAGGGCCTTTGCCCTTGAAGGCTTCTTTTCTTTTCTTTTCTTTTCTTTTTTTTTGTGGTACCAGGAATCGAATTCATGACCTCAGGCTTGCCAGGCAAGCGCTTATGCAGCTGAGCTATAACCCCAAAGGCTTATTTTCTTCTGAGGAAAGTAAGGCAGCTGACAAAACCTGCCCAGGGCCCATTTGAGCTCTGCCATTCTAGGAGACAGACTAATGTGGGGAAATCAAAGTAAGGTCCATCCTGCTGTCAAATAAGAGACTGCAGACCTGAGGTCTGGGGTGACTGAGAGAGCCCTTGTCCAAGCAGGGCCAGGCTGGCAACCTTGGGTCCCCCCCAGCTGGACCTTGTCCCCAGGTTCTCTCTGAGGTTTCTGAGTCCTCACTGGCAATGAGCTCTCTCCTCCAGGCCCCCTTGCCCTCTGCCCCTCCCCAGGGCAAAACCTTACCAAAGCTCCCCAGGAAGGATAAGAGAAAGCCTCACCTGAAATGTCAGTGACCTTGATAGCCGTAGCACGAGGAAACTTCTCTCTGAGAACCTGAGTCACTTGGAGCTCCCCCTCCGTCTGGGAGGCGAACAGCCGATGGACACAGTAGAGCAGAGGAAGCTGCCACAGAACAGAGAAGAGGGCTATGGCAGAGCACGGTGCCACTGGCCCCAGGGCTGGCCACTGTGCAGGCCCCCACAGCCATTCCACCAGCGCAGCCGCGGGCTGTTGGGGGGCTATGTGGTGTTGGCTGGCCATTCAGTTCCCCAGGACACGGAATAGATTTTTGCGGTTGTTTTTTGAGGAGTATAACTGCAAACAACACTAACTCTAGAGACAAAGCCAAAGACCTTATCCCACAGGCATTTAACTCCTATGACAGTGCTATAAGAAAGACACTCTTGTGATGACAGTTTATAGGCAAAGAAATGGAAGCCCTGAGGAATCTACCCCAAACTGCAAAGACTAGTAAGACGCAAAGCCAGGAGAGGCCAGGCAGCCCGCCTCAGACACACCCTGCTAGCTCTGGCCATCCACTGTGCTCTACCCACCTTTAAGCCCGATCACCGGGAACCCCAGCCCTGTGACATGTGCCCGCACCACCACTGCCAGCAGCCCTCTAGACACCATGCCCCAACTCAAGGGACAGAAGAGGCAGAATCCTATGACATGAGCTAAAGAGGGAAATTTTAAGGTTATTCACTATAGGTAACAATACCCTCTTCCTGGATGGCCACCACAGAAGGCAGAGCTCCAGCAGGAGCACGTCTTAACCCTTAGAAGCCAAGGAACAGAAAAATCAGACGAGCAGACAGCTGGCGTGACTGAGCACATGCTGAACAGGGCCTGGAAGCGGAGCGCGGCAGGCCTTGAACGCCAGGCTGGAGGTTCTGGACTTGTTAAGACAGGCGGTGTGAGCCCAAGTGAGATGGCCCAGCCTTTCGACAGTGAAGCAAGCTGCAAACGACAGCGCCTCGAGCAGCAGGTCAAGGGCAACGCCAAGCGAAAGGCCTTAGGAAGGGAGCAGCACCCGATGGTGGTTCCACCTGGCCATGGGCCATTAGCGAGTGTGGTGCTAAAGGTGCCAGCCTGTTTCCCCTGGGTCCCGCCTGTCCGCGGGCCTTTCCTGGGCCCCAGGACGCGGTGCTGCTACGGAACCTCAGAGCTGTGCACAGGGTCTCTCTCCAGCTGGTCTTAAGGGCAACACTGAGTCTGTCCCGCGAGGGGAGCTTCCCACGGCTGGCCCTGGGGAGGCCCTGGGGCACTGGGCACGGACCGATGGACGATGAGCGAGCAGATAAGGACCGTGCTCACCGGTCAGCAAACAAGCAGGTGAGATATGCTCAGAAGTCTGGGGTTACAGGTCTCGGCGCCGTACAGAGGTCAGAAACTTCGCGCTGTGCGTCTGGGAGGAGTCGCAGGGGTGAGGGCCTGGGGCGGCGTGTTGCTTGGGGAGGGTAGGGAGGGGGTGACGGGATGGCAGGTAAGATGGGCAATCACTAAGGGCCGCAGAATCCACGGAGCCTGTCTCCTAGCCGACCTGCGGGCAGCGCCTGTGCCCGGCCGAGGACCCACAGATGACCGCTGCCCGCGCGGACAGTCGCGGCGGCGCTCCTCAGCACGCGGGGCGCGGCAGGTTCGAGGCCCGCCGGAAAGCGAGCGGCAGGAGGAAAGTGGACGGCGCGAAGCGAAGGCCGAGGCAGCGCGGGAGGACTGGGAGCGCGTGGGCAGTGCCCCCGCCAGGCTTCCGTTCTGGGCTGCGGGCTTTGCAGGCGCAAGGTCAGAGGTTCCCGGGGCCCGGACCCCGCCGCAGGGCCCTGCACCCACTCCCGGACTCCGGGCTGTGAGCCCTACGTCTTCCCGCTCCCCGTCCGAAGTGCTCGCCGCGCTGCGCCCGTGCGCCCGCCCC